TGGGAAAGAGCAGTGCCTGTGCTTAGAGGCAGCAGCCTGCCCTCAGGCCCTGGCTCCAGACCTCCAGGATGTCCCAGGGCCGGTCGTTTCCAGGTCTGGTCCTCAATTTACTCATCAGCGGAATGGGGCCACAAAGCCTGCCCTGCCTCCATGTAGAGTGCTTGTAAGACTCAGGCGAGAGAAGAGCTCTGAAAGGAGCTGGTGACTGTGAAGTGCCCAGCAGCTGTTAGTTGCCGATACTGTCCTATGGCTGGAGAGATGGGCGATAAGACCGGAGGCTCAGGACTTTCAGGGGGAAAGGCCACAGGAGTTAGATGTCAGGCCCTGTGTAATAACCTGGGGGCCTTTGGCCCTTTTCGGCCATCCCATTGAAATATTTCATCTACTGATTCAGAATTTTTCCCATAATTTAATTCACCAAATGGTGAACCTATCAAAAGGGCCAGAACCAGGACCCTTTGCCCAGAAAGGGGCAGAAACCCAGCTCCCATCTTCAGCACAAAGGACTTGTCAGAAGACTGAGTTAGGTCTCAGAAGTGAAGGAACCGTTAAGCAATCGGGCAGTTCTGGGGCCTCCGGGACTAGGACGGGGACTGAAGGTCGCCAGGTGCTCTGTCACCGCGCACTCCGGCTGGTCTCCACCTGGCCCCCGTCCCCTGCTGCAGGCAGGTCTTTTCCTCGGGAAGGGAAACAGCTGCCTTCAGTAAGGGATCCCTGTGTCTTTCTGTCTGCTTCCACCCGGACAAGCCCAAGGAGGACTCCGATTGGCTTGCCGCAGGTGGCCACCCTGAGCCAATCGCTCTGACAGGTAGAGGGTACTCCTATGGGCCAGAATCTATTATCGGAAGGGTTAGGGCAGCCCCAAACAACAGCTACCTCACCTACTGCAGACCTCACACTGGCTAGGGACCAGGGATCAAAATGAGTAGCGAGCAGTCCCTGCCCCCTGAGGAGCTCACAGCCTAGTGTGGCTGTGGGGGGAGAGGGGTCAGTCAGATCGCTGAAGTGACACAGGTGCTGGGGTTCTGATAAAGGGAGCGAGAAAGGCTGAAAGGCATCAGAGGAATAGGTGCTTAAGCTCAGGCCCCAAAGCACCCCTGCTTCCTGAGCTGAAATCGGGGGGAGGGCGGGGGAAAGGCATTCCAAGCAGAAGGAACAGCATGAGCAAAGGCTGGGCAGCATGAATGAGCTGATGTGTGCCCGAGGCAGAGAGCGTCCAGTGGCAGAGTGCCTCCTCTGCTGAGCTGAGGAAGCTGAGCTGTACCAGCGCGCAGTGGGGAGGCCTGCATTGGCAGCTGTGGGGAGGCCAGATGTGAGGGGACCACCCTGGATGCAGACCCAGGTGCTGGGCAGCTGAAGCTACCATCCAGGCAGGCAGCGAGGTCCGGGCTGAGGCAGCAGCAGGAGGGAGATTGTGGATGCTGGGTTGGGAGGCAGCGCCAAGGGGCTCCAACAGTAACCAGATGTCGGGGGCAGGAGAAGAGTGGCGACCCCCAGCTTCCGGTTCAGGCATCTGGATGGCGAGGTAGGGTGCCAGGAGGAGGATTGGTTTGGAGGAGGCACCGACTTCTCTTGGGGGGCAGCTGAGTTTGAGGGAGCTGGGAGGCAGGCCAGTGGGCCTGCGATCCATCAACAGGAGTGAGGCAGGGCGAGTAGGCAGAACCCCGAGGAACCTCCCCCAGGAGTGGGCAGAGGAGGGAGCCTGCGCCGGAGACTTTGGGAAAGAATGAAGAGAGAGGTGGGAGGGGAGCCAAGAGGGTGGCGGCCTTGTGGTGGTTGAGAGGGCAGGGGTCAAGGTCATGACCTGCCAGGGAGGGGCCACACCTTATTTCATCTTTGTAACATTAATAACAGGGAGGCAAGGAGTTTGTTCATATCATTTTAAATATACTTTGTTTTATATTTTATTTGTTTTTAACAGTAGATTTTTAAAAAATCATCTGGAACTAAAACTCTCCTTAGAAGAATCCTCTGTGTTGGGAAGTAATTTGCTTGCCAAAAAAATTTTCATAATACCTTTTTTTTTGAAAAATCAAGAAGTTACTAAGTGAAAACAATCAACTCTGGCCTCACTATGAGGTCAATGGTTTCCACATTTGCCTTTCAAGGGACGTCAGACGCGGTGGAATACAGAGGTTTCTGTGAACATCACAGGATGGTAGGGGCGCTGTTTCACCCCAGCCATGGGTGCGGAGCCCATGGAGGCTGCTCTGCCCTTACCTTTCTGGTGGGGGCTCCGGGCTCTGGGACCCACCCCGGGACTCCTCCTGCAGTGTCCTGCCCGGGGGAGGCTGCAGGCTCCAGACCGCAGTGAGAGAGGTTAGGGCCAGACCTCAGGAAGAAAGGCCGGGTCCTGAGTCAGCGAGGCATTAGTCCGTGCGGCTGGGCCCACCCAGTTCCTCAGGGTGCCCGCCCGGGCTGGGTGGGGTTGCCCAACACGTGGCCTCCCAGGACGGCGAGGCCTGACGATACAGTGAGTGACGCCTGGAGAGCCGGCTCCAGGGCAACGCCCGCCGGTCCCTGGGGCTTCCCCTGCCTGACTGGGCCCTGCTCCCGTGGGGGTGCTGCCAGGGATGCATTGAGCCTGAGGGGAATGCAGGAGTGCTTCAGGGAGCCCAGAGGCGGAGCTAGCAGGAACAGGGCCGGTCTGCTGTCTGTCCTCCTCTCTGGCTCTCTGTCCTTCCATCCAGCCCTGAACACAGCCACTGCCGCCTGGAGATAGGGAAGGGTTGCACTCCAAGGTCCCTAGGACCCTGTCCTTCCTCGTGCCTTCGTCCTCCACACTTGCCCCCCAGGGCTCTTTTCCAATATTATCCATACTAGTCAAATGTTTTAGACCAATCCCCACAATGCCTGCGTAGGAAGATGCTGTTTTACAGATAAGGAGACTGAAACTCAGACAGGTTAAGTAACTTGGCCAAAGGTCACACTACCAGCAAAGCCAGAAATGCAGTCATGTGCTGCCTCTCAGCAGCACCCCTCCAGGCCACACCCTTCGAGGGGCCCTTACCCAGAAAGCCCCAGCTGGTGACTCCACAATTCGGGACCCAGTCTGTGACTTTGCATTTGATTTGCATAAGGGTGTCACGAATACAGAGCTATCTCCCCGACGGCCCCCCTTCCTTCTCCTCCTCTTTTTCTCTGTCTCACTCACACGCAGAGCCAGGCTCTTCCTCCTCGAGATGCCTGGCGGGCTGGGGAGCGCCATCTGGTCTCCTCCATCTGCCCAGGAAACCTTCGCTGGTTCAGAGTGTTCCTTCCGCCCGGCACTCCTCAGGGCCCCAGGCCGGGGAGCAGAGCTGCGGGGAGGCCGCCTGGAGGAGCTGCTGTGTGCTGGGCAGCCCCTTTCCCGTCTGCAGTCTCAGGGCAGCGGGCAGGAGTGCACGAATGGGGGGAGGGTTCCCCAGCCCCAGATACATCCTCTATCTTCTGTCTTCAGTCCCAGATTTAGCTGCCTTTTCACCTCCCACGACTTCCTGCTGCCATCTGGAGTGCTGGGAGGCTGGAGAACTAGAAGGAAGACTGGGGTGGGGGTTGCAGGGAGGGGGCCCAGAGCTGGAGCCCTCAGAGGGGAGGAGGAAAAGAAGGTGCTGGCACCCTGGACAGAGAGTGGGCCCAGTGCCCCCTCTCCTTACTCTCTCAGCGGCACTGTCCAAAACAGTAGCCACCAGCTACTTCCGATTTAGAAGGAAACAGAAGGAAATACGAAAAAATAAATATAAAATATCTCAATAACTTTTAGATAGATGACATATTTAAACGATAATATTTTGGACATATTGTGTTAAGTATGAAATTAATTTCACCTGTTTCTCTCTGCCTTTTTAATGTGGCAACTGAAAAGTTTCAGGTGGTATGTGTGGCTTGCATTACATTTATTGGCCAGGAAGTTGCTGTTCTGTAAATACTTACTGCAGGGAGCTGTTTTGAACTAAATGGTTCTTTATTATACCTTGGTCTTTTGGCTATACACACCCATCACTCACCCTCAGAGAGGCAGTACAATGTAGGGGTAAGAATGTGAACTTGATAGACTGAGTTTAGGTCCTTTCTGGTTTGTTTGCTTTTTTTTTTTTTTTTTTTTTTTTTTTTTTTTTTTTTCTTTTTTACAAAAAGTAGG